TATATATATATATATATATACTGTCACAATATTTAGGATATTTCATTCTACTTTGCAGCACTGCTAACTGAATCGTGAACTTATGAATATGCATAGATGTATGACTCAAGTTAAAACGGTCTTTGAATGGAAATAAGTTTATGATCCGTGCATTTAAGTGGAGTGTAAAAGTATGTAAATGTTTTTAAAATGGTTAGCTTAAAGGTATATAGCCAGAAGTTGAAGATAAAATATCTTAAATGAAATATGTGGACTGAGGAGTGTCGGTTGAAGGACATATCAGTCGAGGCACGCTTTAAGATAAAAGTACAAGGCTTATATGTAAAAGCTTAAAGTTACTATACGCGAGTGATAGATGAAGTAAGAGAGCTTCACAGTATTTTTTAATCAAGAAATGAAGTAAAAAATTGACCGTGAATACTGTTAACAGTTGATAAATCAAAATATCTACCTATTGGCATATATAGGGTAGTAGTACTAATTGTGCATGTATTTTGATATGTTATAGAAATACTTACCCTACATATATAATATATATATATATATATATATATATATATATATATACATATATAAATATATGCTATGTATAATATGTTAAAACGAATATTGATAGAAAAGGAATACCATTAGCATACCATTCTATATAAATGTATTTATAGATGGTCGGAGGAGGTAGAGCCAAGTAGCCTATACTTAAGACTTATGTACCAAATATACTAAATTGATATTGCAGTCTTAGGGAAAAAGCCCTAGCAGTTAGCAAGACTTAGTAGATGATCTGTACTTCGAATGCATTATTACAGTGATAAAGATTCTGGGAGGTAGCACAAAATTGTCATTGGATATACAAAACGAATTTTTATTTAAAACCAGTTGATTTTATATATATTTTGTTTCTGTGTCTTCTGTCCAGTCAATGTCGTGACACACACACACATATAGAGTTTGTATGTTTTGATTATATTCAAGGCAATATTTTTAATTTAGGTATAAATTAACGTAAGTTTCGTCCCACTGTACGATGCACTACAAATACCTTTAAAACATACTTTAAATTTTGTTCAACTGTTTTGTACACGATTTGAATGACTTCATGAATGCCTTTTAAATTTACTTGACTTCAAAGAACCGAAACGTTCTCAGTAGGTCTAGCCGTATTATTTAGTAGTAGACCTACATAGGAAGGCCTATTTTTCTATGAAATTAAAAAAAAATGCACTTGCACAATGTGACAATGTCGCCATGGCATGAACAGTCTAGGGCCTAACAACGATATTCTAGGCCTTGATCCAGCCATTTTAAATATGGCCTATTGTGACAGTCCGGCCTAGTCCGACCATATCTCTATGGTCAGACTAGCTAGGCCTATTAATATAAGTAAGTAGTAGTCTAGTAGAAACCTACGGTAATAACTTTACCGTCAGTTCCAGCTGGATAGGCTGCGTGAGAACTCACCTGTTGTTGCGCGCGGGATGGGAGTACTGATGCTGGTGCTGGGTAGATATTGACTGTGTTAATCCTTGGCATAGCCATAGGTGTAGGCCTAACTATAAACAAACTGATATTAATTCAATTGAATTATTCCTCCATGATGGAACTGACGTTTCTCTATGTTACTGCGTACGTAAACGATCACAAAAACTCACGACTTCTCACGAACTGTATGTATGTATTGATACGTGGTGGTTGGAGTAGCGGCTAAGGTTGAAACATACTGCTAATTAAGTTACTCTTTGCTGTTTTTAAAAGCCTCCTTCGTGTATACAAGTGTACCCTTTACTTAATTAGTTAATTTTGTTTCTCATTTTTTATTATATTGGCATTTGTTTAGAGATTTGCTGACATTTTATTTATTTCTTTGAACCATGTGTTAGCTAGGCTGAGGATACCCACAAAATACATAATTGAATCACGGTTGGTATGCCTGCTTGCACCCATTGATTCAGTACCTTTACCTAGCTTAGCTTAGTTGTCTTGCTCTATTGTATCTATTGTTATGTAAATTGCTTCGCTCTGGGGGTTTGCTTGCATGTACCAATTGAATAAGTACCTTTATAAAGCTTAGTATAAGTAATCACTGTTATATTAACTGCTATGCTCAACTGGTTTGAATTAATTCTATAGTGTGTTGTGATTGCCCGCAATAATTACTCTGAAAGATACTGAATTGTCGCTCAATAATTAATCTCAGGGTTTTTGATTTCTCTATCATCATGTCTAAACCGCAACCGGTGGAACAAGTTAGCTCACATGACAATCGTTTACCCCCTAAACTGGATATCGTAGATGATGAGCTAACACCACCAAATCTAAATGAAATTTCACCGCCGGTACTATGTCAGATGAGTGACGAGTATCCCCCACTTTATGGACCGCAACAGCAGCAAAAGATTGAAGGGGGAAATGTCAAGGATAGTTTTAATCAAACCTCACTGCTGCTCACGTCATCAGATGATTTTAGCATTACGCTTTTACCAAATGATCTAACGTCACAAAATGTTCACACTAATCTTAATACCTGTTTTCAAGCCATTAAAGTTCTTCAATAGTTGAAAACCTATATGGTAAAATAGGAGAAAATTATGAATTGAAGGTTAAAATCATTGAAAAAGAGAAACAAATTGTTGTAAACGAAAACAAAAAGCTGAAAGAAGAACTACGAGGTAAATGTAAATCCACTTTCGAAGATCAACATCGTGTTTCTGTTGAAAAACATCAATCTGAGTTTAATGAATTAAGGAAAAAATTAAACAGTTAAAATGTAATAAGCCACCTAAAAAAGACAACATTGTCAAGCAACAAGTGGAAGGTCCCAAAAGAGATGTCGCAAACCTATATCGTAACATCAAGCTTCTACTTGAGAAAGAAAAGCAGGTCACACATTTACACGAGCAACTCACTTCTGCTTTCAGGGAAGTTTCAAAAGCTAAAGATGAAGCTTTTGAAGCCAAATCTACCCAAATTGCAGTTGATACCTCAAATTTTATTCCAGTGAATAGGCACAAAAGTGTACATCCGGAGCATTCACTCATTGCCACTAAAACAAGGTGTTCATCTACTGATGAAGAAGGCGCCAACTAACCATCTGGTGGAATCAGAAATCATCGTTCCAGCCCTTGTTTACATAATACAATGTGTGACTCTTCTGTTGTCCTTGGTTCACAGATCACCTCATCTGTAAATGAAAGTAGTGCTGAGATGGACTCTCGCACTGATACTGAACCATTGATTGATAACCTGTTTAATGCGTTGGAGCCATGTGATAAACATGTAAAGGATCACGGATTGTCTAGTTTTCAACCTCAGAATCTGGTTTCTTTTGACCCCCGACAAGTTAGCTTCAGAGGGGGTGCACCTAAACTCAAGAGGAGTTGGTACATTTGCTAACAACATTATTCGAAACATTGTAAACCCATTAGGATATCGTAAAACCACTCGTCAGCAGACTTACCACACTGAAAGATCATCAACTTTTCCGTTATCCAATCAGTATCAACCGAACCGAAGATAGTCCAAACAAAAGCCGCAAGTGACTCGGTTGTCAAGTCCCGGAAGACATCAAGACAAAGACTGGAAAAAGTATCTCGGAACTGTCCGACAATTACTTAATCCACCGTACACCAGAGGTCCAGAGTAAACTCTGCAAGAAATTGCTTTAACAACCCTGGTTTTCACTTATGTTCACATCTTCATCTTTGTGTACTAAATGCACGCTCATTGCGAAATAAATGTGATGAGGTTGTTGATTTTGTTATTGATCACAATCTTGATATTGTGGCTGTATCTGAAACATTGCTTAGGCCTAAAGATGATATTGTGATTGGAAATTTAACTCCTCGTGGGTATAGTTTTAAGCATGTTCCTAGAGTAGATAGAAAAGGGGGTGGTTTTGGCATTATTTTTAAGTCAGATTTAGAGGTAAATTTGAAAACTGATGTTACTCAAAATTCATTTGAAGCCATTCATGTTCAGATTACTTCTAACTCCAAATCGTTTGCCTGGTTAATATTTATCGACCTCCGAATTTGTCTATCCCTGAATTCCTCAATGACTTTGAAAAGATGATATTTGATTTGCTGTCTGATGTACGTGTACATCCTGATCTTTCTGACCATTTTGCGATAATGTGCAAACTTGACCTTAAAAAAAACCTGCTTTGCCTAAAACTTTTATTAAAAACAAAATTTAAACATGATTAATATTGAGAATTTTTAAATGGATATTCTTGCTCAGGTTTCCGATATTTCGTTTGAAAATTGTAATTTAAAAGAGCTTGTTGGTAGATTTACTGCACTGAAAGCAATTTTAGATGAACACGCTCCTTTTAATACAAAAATAATTAAACCCAAAGCTTCTAAACCGTTGTTTACAGATGAGATTCTTTCTGCAAGAAAAACTCGCCGTCAACTTGAAAGAAAATGGATGAAATCTAAGACTCATTCTGACAGGCAGAAGTACTGTGACCAAAGATGTTTAGTAAATGAAATGGTTGATAAAGCTAAAACCATGTATTATTCTGCCCTTGTTAGGGACTGCTCTGGTGATCAGAAAAAGCTCTTTAACATAATTAACAACCTCCTTCACCACTCAAAGTATACGGTTCCTCCTTCTTCTGTATCAAATCAAGCTCTGGCACATAAGTTCTCTGTGTTTTTCGAGAACAAAATCCAAAATATTCGTAGTTCTTTTGCTCAAAATCATTTAAGTGACGCTACTGGTGATTCTAATGTGATTGGTGCAGAGGAAATAGCTAGGTCTATATTGCTTTCTGAGTTTGATCCTGCAAGTGAGGTGGAAATAAGTGACATTGTTAGAAGTTCGCCTTTGAAATCTTGTCGACTTGACCCGATACCTACTTCTTTGATAAAGTCTTGTCATGATACCTTGGTTCCTATCATAACAAATATAGTAAATAAATCTCTTGAGAATGGGTAGTTTCCTGATGCGTTGAAAGTTGCGCATGTTTTTCCTACTTTGAAAAAATCCAGCCTGAGGTTCTCAAAAATTACAGACCTCTTTCTAATTTAAGCTTTCTTGGTAAGATAATTGAAAAGGTTGTGTCTAAACGATTGTTGGCCCATGTTAAAGAACATACTTTACTTGATTCGTTGCAATCTGCTTACAAAGCACATCATAGCACTGAAACAGCCTTACTTAGAGTTAGCAACGACATCCTATGTGCAATGGACGATGGCAAACTTACTGCTTTAGTTCTATTAGATTTAAGTGCAGCTTTCGACACTGTTGACCATAATGTTTTGCTCCGTAGATTAAGTACGCACATTGGAGTCGAAGGTCTTGCACTGGAATGGTGTCGATCTTATCTGACCAACAGACGTCAACATGTATGTATTGGGGACGCTTTCTCCAAGGAAAGTTCCTTCAATTTTGCTGTTCCTAAGGGATCTGTTCTTAAGCCACAATGGTTCAATATTTATATCCTAGCTTTTCGGGATATAATTTGCAAATATAACTTGTCCTACCATGTTTATGCTGACGATACTCAGATTTACCTCTCGTTTAAGCCGTACATGGCGCAACTTAACCTCCCTCTAGAATCACTCGAAAATTGCATTTTAGAGCTACGTCTTTGGATGAAGCAAAATTTTCTAAAATTGAAAGACAACAAAACTGAATACATACATTGGGTCTCGCCAACAGTTGGAGAAACTTCCACTGAGTAATTTAGTTATTGGGGAAACCCTAATAGGCTCTGCTGCGCTGGTCAGAAATCTTGGTGTTACTTTGGATGCTAATATGACAATGAGTAGACATATTTCAAATATCATTTCAACATCTTCATTTTATTTACGTAACATTAGAAGCATTAGGAAATCCCTTGACAATGCAGCTGCTGAGCAACTTGTTCACTCGTTTGTTACTTCATGCCTTGACATGGGTAACTCGCTCTTGTATGGACTTCCTGAAAAACAAATCCAACGGCTTCAACTCATTCAAAATGCTGCTGCACATGTAGTTACCAAGTCACCTAAGTACTCACGCATAACAAATACTTTGAAATCATTACATTGGCTCCCGGTACAACACCACATTGTAAGTCATATCACTCTTACGGGGATCGAGCTTTTAGTATTGCTGCTCCACGTATTTGGAACGCTTTGCCTTGCTCGGTCAAACACATTAAATCTTTAAACTTGTTTAAAAAAAACGTTAAAATTGCATCTCTTCACCGAGGCGTATAGAGAACCTTGATGTTTCTCTGTTGAATTTATATAATTAAAAAAAATAAATAAATAAATACAAAAAATGATACCACTTTTTCTCTGTCGACGCAATGTTGCTCCTTTTGCAGTGCACGGTAGTGGAGCCCTGGGCTTATCCCGGGGTGGAAGGTGCTGATGTTCAACATACTGCCTTGGAGTATCTGCGCATACTTATATGGGGAGCAAAACTGCCTCGATGGGATAATTTGGTATGCGGATTCTGCTTGAAATTGTTCTGGAATTATTCAGGATTTTCACTGAGGCGTATAGACTACCTTGATGTTTCTCTGTTGAATTTATAATACTCACAAAAAAANNAATCCTCAAAAAAAAAAAAAAAAAAAAAAAAGACTAAACACATGATACCACATTTCTCTGTCAACGCACTGTTGTTGCAGTGCACGGTAGTGAAGCCCCGGGCTTATCCTGGGGTGGAAGGTGCTGATGCTCAACATATGGCCTTTGGGTATCTGCGTATACTTATATGGGGAGCAACATTGCCTCGATGGGATAATTGGTATTTGGATTTTGCTGAAAATTCTTCTGGGAATTATTTGGATCTTGTTGGTTTAATTGTCTATGCGCCTTGAGCACCTTTGGTGGAGATGTGCGCTTTATAAATCTTTCTTGTTATTATTATTGTCTAGGTTGCTGGTCGATCGATCATTGTCGGCCGCGGGACGATTCCTCAATCAGCTGCTCGCCAAAATTGACAGACTGATCATGAATATTAATGAGTTGGTTAGAAAGTTGCTATTAAGCTCCTGAAAAAAAGTGATCAGCCTGGTTTTCACCTGATTTTGATTTCTCATCATATCATGTTTTGTTACATCTAACGTTTTTGATTTTTTTTTGTCGTTACATCTAAAGTTTTTGATTTTTTTTTTTGTATTTTTCACGAACTCAAGAAAGGTTAAATAAGCAATATATGACGACTTATTTTAAACCCGCACTTGGCCTTTAAAAATATATGATTTCTGTTCCCCAACCTATTTCCAGCAAACCTTTGAAAATTTCATCGCAATAGCTCAATGGGAACTGTGTTGTTGCTAAGGAGTTTCTTTGATTGCTGCTGTGATTTTTTTTTCAATTTCTTCAGTCCTTTTAAAGCCCTTTTGCTCAGAACTTTATAGTCCAGTTTAAAGAAAATGAATATAATTCAAAATAGCTTAAATTTACACATAGTTGTCCGATTAAGGTCATTGAGCCCTAATTATAAAGTTAATGATGTGATCTACTCATTTCCATTAAAACAAATATTTTGATAGAGTACGAGTTTACAGCCCTTTTGTGATCTTAAATCACATATGCAAATTAGCTTAAACATGCAAATTAAGGATGGAGATATGGCATGTTTTGGCAACAACTGGTCGTGCAGATTTACTTTCTTTTTTAAATTGTTTAGAAGATGCACTTTTCTATTTGCTTTAATGTAAAATGTTCAAGTGTGACCGGAAATGCAACATTTGACCTATGACCATATTATTTTGCAGGATTTTCAAAAATAGTGCAAATGTGCAAAATAAATATACTTCCAGAAATGCAAACTAGCATAAATATGCAAATTAGACATGGAGATGAAGTGTTTACCTAAACTAGCATTCTTTTTAAAATTCTTAAAAACATGTATCTGTTTGCCTTATTGTAACATTTCCTCAAACAGTAATTGGAACTGCCCCTTCACCTAACTATATTTTCCAAGGTTTCTTTATCTCTACCACTATTATTCTGAATTGAAGTTTTTTCGGATAAATTTTTCAGTTTTATTGGTCTTTCTTAAACTTGTTACAAACTTAATCTTCCATTTAAAATCAGCAAAGTTTAATGAAAGCAATAATACTGTCAGAAAGTAAGTAAACGTGTAACTTCTAACTATGAATGACATTATTAAAATTTAAGCATAGTTAAAGAAATAGATGATGGCTCTTAGTGGCTTTCGTTAGATGCACGAATAAAGTACAGTATAAATGAATTAAATTAAGTAATGATTTAACTCTAGATGAGAATTTTGTGTAAAAGTCAACATAATCATGTTCCTTACCTTTTATTCAGCAAGTCACCTTGTTATTGCCTTCATAATGACTGGTCATGGTGATTTAATTTTAATAGTCTCAACAATAACGAATTTGGGCTTTTTTTTTTTATTTTAGTTTCTTTGGCAAGTTGTTCTAGTTCTTTTAGACTTTCATTGTTTCAAAATATATATTTGCTATTGGTGCATTATGAAGCTTGATTATGTCGTTGGGTAGAGTTAGCGGTAGAATGGACGTTGCTTAGCAATCTTTAACATTTGGTGCAGTGTTATTGTTGCAGTAGGAAATGGTCGAGGCATGGGTTGGTATGTATGTTTGATTCTATACTTCTAGCGTCAAAAATTTCAAGACAAAAAGATTTTGTTTGTTTTATAACCATACAGGTTTCTAAGCTCTTGTTAAAAATGAAATACCATTACACTTTACTTTATCATAAAACTTTGTTGAGTCCATGTTGTTGGGTAGATTTCGTCGTAAAGGGCCCTTGACCATCAGCTAAATTTGACAATAATGCAAATTATTGAAGTGTTGACCAGTGCAACTTATATGGATCCTGTCTGAATAATATTACTAAATATATTTGGGCGTGAGGTCTACAGTCGAAGCCCCGGTGGGTTCTGCGAAACCCCAAAACAAGAGGATGTTTGTGCTTTATGGGTCTAAATGATGCTATAAAGGCAGATATGTTTGAAAATTCCTGTGTCTGGGTGAGTCTGCAGTGCATTAGTTGGGGTTGGAGGACCTATTTGGGAAATTTAAAGAAGAGGTTTCGCCAGAAAAGAGGGGGGGGGGGGTTGCTAGAAAAGGGGTGTTCGTCCGAACCATAATCCCCCCCCCCCTGGATATGGATACGGGCCTGGTGAAAACTCTGAAATTAATATTCTAAAGGACTCGTCAACGAAGTAGACATAATGTCTACTTGAAGGTCTTGTAACGCCAAAGTTAGGGAACATGGTTTAAAGTAAAGTTTTCCTAAAAACATCTTGTTAAGGTGTCAAATAGAAATATATATCTGAATAAATTGAAACCAAATCTAAATCTCTACAAACACTATGCACGGAAATAGGAAAATCCCTTAAAATGAAGTCATAGGTCAAATGTCATTTTTCCAGTCCTCTTGGTATTTAAAGAAAATAGAAATATGTATGTTCCTAACAATTTAAAATAGAAAACAAGTCTGTACGAGCAGTGGTTGTCAAGATATCGTCACCAGGGGCGGATCCAGAGATGTCCAAAAGGGCGGCCGAAAGGGGGGGGGGCCGAAATTTGGGCAGATCGAGACAACACTGAATTACGAGGTCCGGGGGGCAAGCCTTCACGAAAATTTCTGTGTTGTAGACGCCCGAAAATAACATTTGAGGCGTTGTGGGCTATCGATTTTTCTTTTTCTTTCTTTTTTTCCCTTTTTTTTTACCCTCTCAAAAAGGGTGGGGGGAGGCTGGGCCGCCCCCCCCCCCTAAATCCGCCCCTAGTCACCGTTTTCCGAAACGTTTTGTGTCACGAACCAAGGCAATTCAACAGAAGGACGCACATCTCGGGACATCAAAGGTTATAACTCTGGCATCGACATTCTAGGCGCACGTGCGTCCCTACACGCTGAACGTCACCAAACTATAACCATGGAGGTATTATTAAGAAGGAGATCACTCGGCAACAGATCCCTTTGACGCGACAAACCTATGTGTTCCCCGCCTTGATTTGACTGGACAAAATTGCAACAAAACGTTTTATGATCTAAATATAAACTTAATTATATGTAAAACAACATACTAAAAGTTTACCAAAATAGGACGTACATAAAGGTGTTTTTTATAACCAAAAGTTCAGCACTATTTGAAAGTATACTTTTACACGGTCGTACTGCGGTTTTTGCCGGAATTGAAGAGTAAAGGCAGGCTCAGGTCGACACGGAACTGAAAGGAACTCAACTCAACTCGTCGACATGAGCGCTCCGCGCAACTGAAAGGAACTGAACGGAACTTGACTCATGTCGACTGGCAACTGAAAGGAACTATTGGCTAAAAACATTTTCCTCGCGAAATCCCATCAACTGCAAAATGTCTGTAATGTTTTTATTAAGACATGTAATTGTTTTAAAAAGTGTATCTACTTTACATTTTATTTTGAAAATGTCGACCGGCAACTGAAACAGGTGCCTGTTTGATTAGTCGACAAAATTGAGTTTTTAAAGATTTCAGTTTCTTCGAAATCTCATCAACTACAAATAAATGTTCGAATGCTTGTAAAATTAGACGTGTGGTTAAAATATTATAAAATTACTTTTGAAGCTTATCTACTCTTTTTTTTTTAACTTTATAAAAGTGTATCGCATATTGGTCTATTTAAAATGGGTTCATGCAAAAACTGGTGGAACAATTAAAGCAAAAAAGGTCTTTTTCTATTTTGAAAAAAAAACCAAAAACAAGA